TCGAATCCTCACTGCCTCTGCCCATACAGATGGGGGAGAGCAGCAGGGATCCAGAGGAGAAGTTGCAGGCTGTGCCACACCACTTCTCACTGCCATGCTGAGCCCTGGCTGCGTCCCCCCTGCACCTGCTTCCGAGTCGAGTGCCTCATTTGCCTCGCCCTAGCTACGGCCATGCTTACAGGCACCAAAACTATTCATGTTCCATGTGTGTTATCCCCGATTAGAACGGAATGTCAACTCTATTGATTTCAGCACAATACAAAACCTGGCACCCCATTGGAGCAGTATGTGGAACAGATTCTAGATTTGGGCTGGCAATGCAGCATTTGCCTGAAGAGCTGGCATATTTGTAGACAGGTGTGAGATGCCATAGTTTATTTGGCCCCAATCAGCTCTATATTATTAGCAAACAAACACCTATCCAGTCTATTGATCCTTTCTACCAGTGCTGTTGCTTATTCCCCAACCAGAACTTAATAGTGGGGCGAGTCAGCCCAAACTTTTTTCTCTTGATTATGTAAAGAGTGGGGAAGGATTAGAGCCTGCCCCTCATTTCTTGTCCTGCTGGCATTTTACCACACAGTAAGTACACTTTAGGAACGGCACTTTACGCCAACCAGAAAATGAACTGTTTTGGGGTTAATGTTTTTAAAAAACTCTTTGGATTAAACATTGTTGGTTAGTCAGCAAACGCAAGCAAGAACTTTTCTTTGGGATTGTTGAGGACAGCTAGGGAATGGTTAATGATGTCTGTGATACCTAAGGTAATGTTTTCCCCCATGTCTCCTCTATCTGACAAGTTAGAATAGGCAATAAGAAGAAATATGTCCAATAAATACCTTAACCCCTTCAGGACTGTCGTATATATACATATATAAACAACGCTGTCCTGAAGCTGTTATACATGTATAGTTTTGTACAGCCCGTGGCAGTCACATGCAAAGGTTCAGGCGGCTATAGAACAACCCGATCACTTGTATGGGGCTGGGGAGGGCTGCTGCCTTGGCCAGGCTCCTCTGTCCCGGATGCAGGCCCAGGACCAGCATGATGGGTCTACGTACCTCGATCAGAGAGAGATCAGCACACTTCCAGTCTCTGACCTCCCCTCTGATCACTGAACATAAAAGTGACATGTATTACATCACATGTCGTTTCTCCCCCTGCTGTGGCCGGAAAGGAAGAAGATAAAGATCAATCTCTTCTTCATGAGCTTCTTTGGGGTCCTTAGGTGACATAAGGGGTCTAATAGACCCCCGATGTCTCCATAAATAGGACCTGTCACATCCTCTTTGCTATCACATAGGGGACTTAGCCCCCTATGTAATAGCAATAATGTTAAGGGAAAACAAAACTTCAAAAATTGAAGTCACATATAAAAAAAAATAAAACACAATTTTTGTTTAAAGTCCCAAATCCCCATGTACATACAAACACAAACACGCATTGGGTGCACCTATGTGTAAAAATGACATTTGCGTCACACGTTGCATAACAAACGGAAACATGGGATTGAGAGCAATAATTCTAGGGCCAGCAATGATTGTAAGCACTAAATTGATGAACGTAAAGCGTTGCCTATGGGCATTTATGGGTATTGCCGTTTTTTGCCATTTCACAGGTGCGTACAATTTTAAGCCTTCACATGTTTGGTATCTATTTACCCGACACAACCCCGTTTCTTATATTTTACCAAATTGGGTATTATATTCTCTTTCTGTGCACTAAGAAAACTCCAGTTGGAGTTGGGATTTAATATTCGTATGTCATGTTCACCTGGATGCATGTCAGAAGCAATATCTCTCAATATTATATTTTATCATGCTTTTCTCCTGTTTAATAGCAAACATATAGTGAGCAAGGGAATTTGGGAATAAGTGTGGAAGTAGTGTGTGAGGTGTAATGTCAGATATCTCATCTAGATTTTGTGTACTTTTGGTATTTGGCCTATTGTAGGGAAGACAACTGTGAAAGGGTATATATTGTACAGCAGAACATGCAGCACAATGTACAGTCCAGAGTGCTGTAAAGTAGAAAATGCACAGCACAATATGCAAAGTGGAGCGGGTTGGCATATTGAATGTACAACACAGGCACAAGGTAGTGTGGAGTAAAGTATAGAATGTACAGCACAATGCACAAGGTGGAGGGTACGTTCACACCATATGCAGTGCGTTTCCGGTCTGATTCTGGTCGGAACGCACTGCATCGCATTGCGGCCTGCTCACTTTTTTGTGGGGCAGTAGGAGGCATGGCGGGCCATTGAAGTGAATGGCACCGTAGCCACGCCCTCCGGCCACAATGCGATCGGCCGCACGGCACATTGAAGGGAATTTATAAAAACTGGAGCAGATAAAATCTGGAGCAGTTGCCTATGCCTGCGGTCTGGTCCGGTGCGATCAAAATAGTGCTTGCAGCATTTTGATCGCACCTCACCGGACAATGTGCCCTGCTATCCCGTGCGGGCGATCGCATTGCGGCTGGAGGGCGTGGATACGGTGCCATTCACTTCAATGGCCCGCCACACCCCCTCCTGCCCCACTAAAAAGTGAGCCAGCCGCAATGCGAGGCAGTGCGTTCCAGCCAGAACCGGTCCGGAACGCACTGCAACTGGTATGAACGGGCCCGGAGCAGTGTGGTATAGAATGTACAGCACAGTGCACAAGGTGGAGCAGGGTAGAATATAAAATGTACAGCACAGTGCACAAGCTGGAGCTGTTTGTGATACAGTACTGTACTGTATTATGTACAGTGTGGTGTACATAATACAGCAGTGTGGGATGCAGAAAGTATATAATATTCTATAGAGTAGTGTAGTAAAGAAGAGTAACACAGTTTGGAGTATATATTGTATATCATGTACTTGAGAATGGAGTGATATGCAATGCAAAACATGCAGCACAGTGTACAGTATAGAGTCGTGCAGAGTGCATCTTGAACATCAATGAGTACAGAGTGGTGCGGTATGGCATATACTGTATGTCATCCGTCACAATGCATACAGTGGAGTGGTTTGCAATACAAAACATAAATCACAGTGTATAGGGTAGAGTAGTGAGGAGTGTATGTTGGATAGCTTAGTGTACAGAGTTGAGCAGTGAAGTGTATACACTGTGCAGCACAGTGTGCAGCACAGTGTGCAGAGTATAGTAGTGTGGGTAACTGAACAATCATTAAGACCTCATCAGACACTATTATAATAGGTGATAAGAAATGTTTTTGGTTTTCTTAGATTTCAGCATAAGGTTCCTTTAACTGCTTATAGTGTGTGGGCGACCACTCTTCATATAATCAGCAGCAAGAAAGACAAGCACCATAGTTAGGTTAGTATTTTTAATAAAGTACCTAAAGTGGCATTATAAAACAAAACCACACAAATGGCATCCTACGATAATAAGACAATAATAATAAAATGCATCATTATGACCGAGGGGAAGTTAATCTAGAGTCATTCTGGGATGAAGGCCGTTCTTTTCCACAGTCACAGTCGGCGTCACTGGCGAATCTTCTTAAAAACCTGTTTGCAGGCTACACCTCCAACCCGCATTTCCTTTGGAAAGAAAATAGAAAATAGGTCAGAAGTTCTCTCAGTCAGCAAATCATCAAAAATCGGATACATTCTTTTGTGCTAAACTATCGGCAGCATATTCTATAAAATATCCTTTCATTGGACATGTAACTTTGAAGCTTGGGCTGCACAAGAGTGACTCATCCTACTGTATCTACAGCTGAATGCACAATCAAAAGTTTCATAAGGTTTCCACTAGAATACATGCGGTTTTGTTAAAGAATTCAAAAGGGAAAAGAAAATGAAAAAGATCTCTTGGAATAGAAGCGGCGTGCACAGTCCAGGGAGGGGTGCAGAGAATGGAGCCTTTGTGCTGAAAAGAAAGCTGGTAGAACATTGCCACAGCCAATCAAAAGCTTTCATCTCAAGGGTTTAACTCCTCTATGGAGAGGGAGACCTGTAACACATTTTTCAGTCTGCAGCCGATCAGTGCGAATGAGCTAAAGAAAATGTATCACTTTCATTTACCATCAGCGTCAGGATGTGTGCAGGATTTATTTTCTATGTATTTACAATAGCCGTCAGAATCCATACTGATTGGTTGGTACGAGTGTCATGCAATATTAAATATGTAAATATGGCATGGTGATAACCAAATTGCAACTTGGTATCTTAAGGTGACACTAAACTCAGGAGTTAAATCTTAAAAATACATTCAAGTACCTTCATTATTATTATCAACAATGTATCTTATTTGTGTATCACTCGGCTGTAAATCCTCAAATCATCTCTGAATTGGTGCTGACACTGTCCTTCCTTTTGGAGGGTGGCTACTTTTGTTCCCCAGGGTCCCTGTGTGTGTTGTAAAGTAGTCACCACTCCAAGCTCACTCCCGTGATGGACTACAATCTCATGTTTAGTTTACTAATTTTGTATTGAGATTATAGTCCAGCACGTTTTTTCTTTCACAGAGCACAGGGCACAGTAATTTTCACAGAGCATGCATAAAACATGCACAGTTTTAGCTTCCTGCAGAAACAGCTGGTCCCCTGAGCACTGGCGTTAATAACCTTTTTTTTTGGGTGACTTCGTTCCCTTGCAGGGTGCAATGGAGCCACCCTTGTGTGTGCTAGTAAGCTGTGAGTATCTCCACAAACACACAGGCACGGTAAGGCAAGACACTATCCTGGTCTCTGTTCCCTACTCCTCCTTCCCCAAGCTAGTAAATGAACAGCTACTAGAGACTGCTCTGTCCTTTGTGGTCTTTTGACTAACAGGAAGTTCAGGGAAGCCGAGCTGAGAGAGTTGGAGCTCCTTGGAAACATGATGACAGTAAGTGCTTGGGGAAAAATGTAAAGAAATACTTTGCTGGGCATTGTGTATTTGTTCAATCCGGATTCATAACAGAAAAAAGTTTGATAGTTGAATAAGTGTTGTTAGTTATGTGGCAAACTAAGTGCAAAACATTGTTTTCTTAGCAAGCCTTCCGAAATAATGGAAGCAGCAGTGCAACACTGTGGCAGCCCTAGGATCACATCCATCCTTGAGCCGTGTACTATGGCACCACATCCGTGTGCCGTTTCTAAATAATTATTTAGATTGGCCAGAAACTTAAAGGTGCTTCTACTGTCATCAGATATGACTGCCCAATCACGGCAGGACCAGGGTGTTACATTGGTGCTTCCTATATTTTCAAAGTCTCAAAGACATAACACCTCATACCTGTATTCAACAAACAAACAACTAAGCTATCTTAGCACTATGCACTAATGAACTGTACAACCAGCGCTAATACACAATCATATTTACAAGGATTAAATGTACTATGTTATTGTATGCCCCATATATGCAATGGATTCATGTTGCAATGTTTTTTGAGGGTATATTTTAATAGATGCTTATTCAAGTGTGAACTATTTTACTGCAAGGTACTAAACAGCAAATATCTAATAATTATGTGCTCCCTAGTATATTAGATATTTGAGCAGTGAAATGGTTTCCTGTTTCCCTTCCAAATCCAAGTGGACATTTCCTGTAGTCAGTGTACAGTTTATGTTGTGTTGTGGAAATTTTATTAGGATGTGTTTGTAGTGTATTGTAATGTTTTGTCATTAGTCTCTCAGTGTCTCGGTGTAAATAGACACTGGGGGATTAATCCATTGGAGGAGATTTCTTATGCGCAGCGGAGCAGTGTCTTCTTGGCGAATGTATGGACGCTGGCTGGGGCCCCCCGTGCAATGCATGGATTTATTGGCTTGCGTGGATACATTTGTTTGGAACGCAGTATATGAAAGGAACGTGCGTTTGTTCTCTCTGGGGTGCCTGATCAACACGCTTGAGATAATGACGTTGTCCCTGTGAATGAGCGCGCATGAGAATCCTAGTAACGTTATGTGGCATTGATCACTGAGCAACGCGGGATAAAGTCACTCCGGTGGTCATTGATTGTTACTACATGTGATTTGTTAGCTGACTCCTGTTCACTTCCTGTCTGTCCCACTTCCTGGTTTGCTGGTTGTTGAAATCATCTGTTGGTTTTCCATCACTTCCTGTCTCGCTGTTTGAGACACCCCTTCCTGTCTGACATCACTTCCTGTTGGGCAGGTATAAACAATAAACATACCTGCGCTCAGGGCTCTGAGCATGGGATCAACGAACAAGCAGCATCTGTCTCCTGACTCTACATGACTCTATAGAAGGGAAATACTTCCAGTCCTTGCATAAAAGAGCGTAGTACAACGGGGGGAAATTCTTTGCGTTTGGTGCAGCTTAATGCGACATGGATTTGTGCGTTGAACCAAGTGAATTTCCATAACAGTTGTGCCTTGTATGCACCTTGTGACCCACCTCCCCTATCATTTCCTGAGAGTGCAATGACTTCTGAGTTGGTGGATTCTAGTGGGGGCATAGAAAGTGTCATCCTCTTATTCTTAAAAACACACAAGGGTGTAAGGGACTATGGGATAAAGGATTTATAGTATAAAAACTAAAGGCAAGTGCGATTTTTTTATGTTACTGTACTACAAGAGAGAAATCATACCAAGTGTAATTCATCTCCTTCCACCCATTGCGTCCAGCCTCGGCCTTCCTTCTCGCCTTTCTGTACACACAGCAGCTTGTCTCCTTCCCAGGTGACCGTTGTCTAGAGAGATACACATTTTTTGAAACATTGAGCCACATATTCATACGAATTACAAGAAATACAGTGCATATGAAACCACAATATTAACATTTGTTAAAGGATACGTTGTCTGCTCACAGTGATCCTTCTTGACTTGTAATGCATGATCTCACTGGGCGATGGCCTACCAACATTAAAAACATATGTGCAGCACATTCCAACAATTAGTGAAAGATCTGTTCAAACTGCAAATTTGTTACAAATTTTACAACAAGAGAAGAGATTTGCATTAATCATTTTACTTCTGTGCTCCACAAAATTCTATAGGGTTGCCACATGTCAGTCACACCTGCCTCTGTGACATTTTTTGTAAGACAGAAAGCTTTTCTACCCTGTAATTATCGGAGAACGTTTATCAATAAATGATTTGCATCAGTTGCGTCAGTAATGATATTACATACACCCACAAAATGGCAAAAAAACAACTAAACCCATGAATTGTCAAAAGGAAACATGTTACAGCTCATCAGTTTGGAGTTAATAAATGACAGCCATATAATTATTCTTCTCACTCATTTACCCTACATATGTGTGTGCCCTACATATGCATGCATGGAAGTGGGGATTTTTTGTTTGTTTTTTTTTAAGCTTATTAGATCTTTTTTAGCACTTTAATATATTTTTTTTTAAATCTTATTACACTTTAATAACTTTTTTTTTTTACACGATTATTGTCACAAGAGGGCTAACAAGCCCCCTATGGTATTTCATTGTGCAGCTAACAGGCACACCATATGGGGACATCAGGGGTCTATTAGACCCCTTATGTCTCTCCAAAAATCTGCTCAAGCAGATCAAGAGCAGAGAGCCCCCGATCTGCTGTTAACCCATCTGTGCTGGCCAGACTTTGACAGCTGTGAATCTGGAAGTGCTCAGAGCTGTGCAGTTCTGGGTTCACACCCTGTAGAGGATATTAAAGGGGAAAAGATTATCTAATTTCTTCCTACTTGCCATCCTAACTGCTGTTTTGGTGGTCAATGGTTCCATGGAGAGACAGGTAAGACAGCAAAGCACAACTGGGTGCATGGCACATTCACAGTCATGTACAAATGATTGGGTGACTTAACAGCCCTGCAGAACAACTTTGATAAAAATAAGGCTGTGGGCCTTCTGAAAAAAAGAAAATTGGATTTTGTGTTGGACTGTATACATCTGTGTTCGCTGGCATTTATTTCTGCTTTTTCTACACATCACTTGTATTCTATACAGGTCAATGGGAAAGCATCTCAAAGGCAAGATTTTTTTCCATGAGTAAGCAGTGTTAAACTTGTTCCTGAGTCATGTACATCGACCATGACCCTCATTCTAAGCAAACACCACATACTGAATCTTCATGTGGAACTAAATATTTGCTTTGTATAGTCCGACCTTTCCCTCAGCATGTCAAACTAGAGAAAATGTAAAGGAGGAAAAACTAGAATTGCTCCAGTTTGGGGTGGGGTGCCTCAATCTCAGAAGAGCTTTTGTGGATACCTTTGCTCAGAAATTCAGCGCACAGGGCATTAATCATGACCTTCACCAGGGCTTGAGTTGGTGAATATACTGCAACAGGAGTATCAGTTCCTAGTCATATGATGCGGTCTAGGTATTTCACATCACTGGAAAAAACCTCTTTGACTGCTTCTGTAGAAATCCTTCTCCATCCAGCAACCTGTGTCCTTTCATTACCCTGGAGAAAAGTTCATTGTCACAGAACAGGACCTTGGATACACCCTATGGTGGAAGAAAATGGGGCAAAATGCTGTAAGCACCCTTATAACCTATGTTGCTAGTGAACACAATGCAGTGGATCGGTCAATATGGACACGCTTTACAGGGTGTCATACACTGACCCATGTATTACTTGTTCTTACACTGCATGGAAAGCAGGACAGCTAATCATTTTAAAGCCAATAATATGTATATGATTCAATTGCAGCTATCTTACAATACTTCTGCATATTTCTATTAATGACTTACATCTTTTCACAGCCTGATTTAAAATTATCTCAGCCTTGAAAAAAAATCTGCACTTTCCCCTCTTGTGTACGTGGAGTGGCCTTTGGAACTTGCTCAGGAAAGAATTGTGCAGAGTAAAGCCATATTTGTAGTACATATGTACCTTCAGGCAACTTATTCTCACAATGCTTCTGAAAGCAGTCGTTAGATGTAAATTTGACGTTTTGACGCGAACAGCATTTCCAGGCAGAAGTTGACTGCGCAAGCAAAGATAATCAGGGAAAAGCAAAACTTGAAGCACTTTACATGAGTTAGTCATGAGGAAGCATAAGAAGGGAATTTTTCAACTTCCATCAAAAGGACTGCTTAAATCCCCAGCCAAGACTTCTCGAGTTGACGTGCCTGTGAAGGCTTGGAAACTGAATTTGCCATTCTTCCATACCTCTGCTACAGTTTGAAGGGATTTTTTTGTCTTTTGCTTTTTATTGTTTGTTTACTCCTCTCATGCCCTTTCCTCTCCTGTTACATATCACTCAAACAATCCATGTTAAGATGCATGATCTCCTCTTAATCTGGCAAAGTATTCTTTTTCTACATCACCTGCTTTCTGCAGGCACGGTCTCTTCCCAAGATGGGCCATACACTGGAATATACAGGAATCATACAAAATTCTAACAGTGGGTGGCTCTGTCAGCTCAACAAAAGTTGATTGAGTAATCAACTTTTGTCGAAGGAGATGGGTCTAAAATGTTAGGCCCAGCAACAACAGTTGACAATCAGCTGCAGTCATTGTTCATGTGTTCAGACAGTGGCAGTCACCTGTGGTCAAAATAAAATAGCCGCACTGGGAGATTCATTCATTCACGATGTTTACCTTGGATGGGCGCAGGCTGAACGGAAAATAAAAGTTATACAGTATGGCCAGCTCAACCCTTTACCTGCACTTTTTTCTCCCCAGCCTTTCTTTTGTACTCTCAAACCCAATGTGGCCCTTCCAGTGCTGCTTCTCCCTGAATAACTATTGTGCAACATCTGACCTGTGTCTATAACCAGTCATCTTACTGAGTGGTGAATGTTTGCGATGCTGGTGGGCCAAAGTATTGTTAAATGTATGTGAATACAAAATGTATTTGGGGAAATGTATACAGTCATTTATAGGAGTTGAAAACAATAGCAGCTGTTATTGTACTCAGTATTAATAAATACCTTTGTCTTCAAAGAACTTAAACTGCAAAAGATACCATTCTGGGAGCACAGGTCAGATTTAAGTTGATACAGTGGGCAGTTCTAATGATGGGAAAATCTGCCCAGGTTTGATTTACGAAGGATCAGAGGATTCAGCTAATTTTGGTAAAAATGCAGCGAGTCCAAAATTAAGAGGTCAATCCTATTAAGTAAAAAAAAAAAAGGCATAGGAAACCAGGCAATGCCATGGGGAATGTGACCATTGGAAAAAAATGTTTAAAAGATTACCTACAGCGCAATGAGGATCTTTTCATGTGGCTTCAAGGGCAACATTGAAAATACACAATTCCTTTAAATAACAGTTCTAGTTGGTATGCCTTTAAACATTACATGGTGTTATGGAACAGTATGATTTTAACAGACAGTCTCAGTAACAACATACAATGGCAGCACTAGGGATACATTCACATCTACACTTTAGGTACGATTTGGTATTCCTGCATCAGGAACTTGTGATTTCCTGCAGCAGGAATCCCAAATCTTCTGTTTACAAGTGGCAGCTATCAGGCAGCAAGTTAATGATCGGCAGCAAGTCAAAGATAAGCACAGCAAATTGTTTAAGACAATGAATCCCATTTATTTCTATGGCCCTTGTTCACACCTAAGCATTTTGTCGCGCTTAGCCTTTGAGCAACAAAATGCCTAGGTGTGAATGGAGCATAAAGATGAGGCCAGAACACAGTTTAACCTGAAGATACTTAAAAATTTTAGGGTTAGGGTTAGTAAAGAATCAATACATAAAATGCCGGGGCGTCTATAGATTTTTTTGCTGCCCAAGGTGGCAGGGGTGGGTTGAAGTGCAGCATTCCCCCAAGCTCCTGGCAACCACTGACGTCACTGGTTGCCAGGAGCTCAGTGGGACGCCGGCAAGAGTGTCCCAGGTTGCTAAGATATGGGCAGAGAGATGTGCATGACCCTTAAACATCTCACCACCGGGCTCTTAGCAACCTGGGACACACTTGGCAAGAAAGGGGGCAGCAGGCACAATGCAAACATGCAGCAGAGCAGCTATGCCGCTCTGCCTGCTGCACCCCCACGAAATGCCACTTGAGGCAATAGCCTCAGGGTGCTTCATTTCAGGGAGGGCCCTGTGAAATGCCATTGAGAACAAGAAAGCCTTTATTTTTTTTAAAGCTGTGCCTTGCAGCACAAAAAAAAAGTGTGCTATGGACATGACAGCAGCCAAAAGTGACCGCTGACCTCAAATCATCAACTAAAAGAATAAAAAAATGGCAGCAATCGATTGCCCAAACACCTAGCAGTCAGAATTAAAGTACACTTTCCTAACTGACCCAACTGACCTCTTACCTTGTGTGATGCCTCCTGATCCGAACAGCTTCTTCCTTCCACTCATTTTCCAAAGTCCTTCCAACGCTGGTTTCGTTTTCTGATCCAGCGCAGACTCTTCGGGTCCAGCGGAGTCTGTCAATCGTGTGTGCTCCCGGATGTCTGGCTGCGTCCATTCAGTATCAGCAGTGCTCTCCTCCTCTCACCTCACATGCACCCGCCCACACTTCCTACTTCACACCGTTCGGGACCCGGGGCTTCTGCACCGTGAGCGAGCGGCACTGACACAGGTAAGTTTGTTGGTATTTGCTTTTAATGCTGGCGCATATATCTACTGCTGAACCAGATTTTTTGAACCCATCTGAACCAGACTTTTTGCTCTTGGACCATAGCCATTTGAACATGTCTGCCTAATGCTCTCACATGCAACTCCCCCAAAATCTATTGCTTCTCTTGCCATCGCCCTCGTAAATCTAGCCTCTGCTGATCGA